AGCACTGCTGGTCATGAGTTCAGTGTTAAAATATGTATATCACATATAAAATATGCTGATATATTAATCAGCTGGCAAAATATTATGACCAGAGACTCACAGGCACCCAACACTGTGTTTCTGTTAAGGGATAATGATTCAGTATTGACTAACATTGGAGCAACTTAACTGCCATGAATAAAGAGAACAGACTGTATTTTGAAATTATGTCTAAGATATAACAGTATTTTGTGAAGGATAGATGTGGAGTCTGAGAAAGAGAGTAGTTAAGATTAATTCTAAACTTTTTGGAGGTGTTACTTATTATGATGGAAAGGACAAAGGAGAACACAGAGTGTTTTTGATTTTGGAAGGCTCAGTGGATTATGGGCCACCTACCTCCTGTTTTTAACTAACATAACTTAGTTTTATGTTGGGTTTCCTGTACAAGACAATTGTTTCATGGCTGGGTTAAAACAATAGCAAATGTATTCATTACTAACTAGGGAGAGAGAGCAAACTCTTTGAGGTGCAGCATGGTGGTGGTGAAAATCTGGGATCAACATGTTGTCCTAATCTCGCCACTGTCCCCTCTGAACCATGACAGAACTGCCAGAACAGTTGACAAGAGCACTGAAGGAGAGTAGAACTCTCTGAGCAAAAGTTTAACAAATGCTCATTGTATCTTGGTTGTTATTACCAGTCTAACATCTTCTTTTATTTAATGTGAGGTCACCCTTCAGACTTTTCTATACATTTTGGAGGAGAAAGGGGAAGAGAAAACTGCAGGGGAAGAGAAAATTTGTGGGCAAAATTTCATTCCAGTTCCAGCACATCTGCAGTGGTGTCTGGAATGTCACCGAAATGAATTATTTAAAACTGGTGGGAAGATGGTGTTAGACTATTATACACAGTCTGATGATTTAAAAAAAAAATCAATCTGCCTCACCAGATTTCCTGCTTAAAAAGAACTGTTGTATTTATAGTTTTTCATTGTGTCATAAGGCAGAAAGTAAATAAGTAAGATGTGGGAGTATAAGGCAATGCCACTCTCTAACAGGAAATGTAGCAGCCTAGGCTTGTGTGCCCTCAGAACAGAAAGACCTGAAAGTCACGGATGGGGAAGGTTCTAAGTCAGATGAGAAGTGGTAGACATTCTGACTCAGAGAGCTAGACTTTCAGAAGGAACCAAGACCACTGATCCCAGTTCCAAATACTTGAAGTCTGATTCCAACCAAGTCTCAGTAAACTCTCTGGCCACAGTCATCTGAAAAACACTTCAAAAACACTCTGGGTGGTGGGGTTAGTCGTAATTTCATATCCTTTAATAAATTGCTTATTAATTTAGTTCTTAAATAAAATCCCACTGGAAGAGTTAAAGCACAGAATACTTTGCTTATAAAAGAGGGGTAGCCTCTATTTCCCTAAGACCATAGAGCCACTAGCTGGCTCCTCTTCCCTCTGCAGCGCCATGAAATTTTCTCCTGAACAAACTCAAGGTGAAAACAAGCGGGGATCTGCCAAAGGAGCCTAATGACCATAATTACATACATCTTGCAAATTTCAGCCAAATCCTAACAGCACTGAAAGCTTCCCTGCAGCTTCCAAAGTGATTGAACAGCCGTCTCTTGCTTCCGCTGCTCAGTCTTCCTTTCCCATAAAGCATCAGCACACAGGCATCCTCCTCCTTGTTTCCAGGGAGAGATGCTAAAACAGTACCACTGAGCTACGGACTGGAAAATTGTTCGGATGGTAAATTTTACGGTATGTAAAAATTTTTCGGTATGTATTTTACCAGGAAAAAATTAGGAGAAAATATTCGGTTGTACTGATTTCAGTACTGCAGAAAATGATTGATAGATGTACAGTCTAATACTATGACAAAATGTAATCAAGTAACAGTGCGTATGAGGTTCTTTACATGGTCTGTAGGAAGCACTATGATAGCATTGTGACACAGATGAGGGAGTGAGCAGCCCTGTTCCCTGCGATGGGATGGGAAGGGGTAGGGGTGTATTTTACAGCTTCATAGAAGAGTTTGACAACTGAGCTGAGCTTAGAAGTTGAGCAAAAATTTGGAAGTGTAACAGGATTCTACGTGGAAGACCAGATGTAGTAGAAAGATGGGGCTTTTGTTAGAGACTAGTAACTTGCATTGAGGTACACCGTCCACCATGATAAAGTTGGGATTTTTTTTCCAAACCAAAGGTCCGAGCAAGAGATGAGTTTCAGAGTCACTTGTGGAGTTTTGAAAAAACACATTTGTCCATAATCTCAGGGGAAATTTGGTTTAGTAGGTTCAGTTCGAAGTTTAGGCTCACATATGTGGCCAAACCTCCAGGGCGATTCACATTTACATCCTGAATTACTACCACAGGCTGTGAGACATCACTAAAATTCTAGAATGGTACCTCAGTGCTGGCGTTTCACTTGTTCTGGGAGGTACCATGAGTGCCAAAAGTGATGAATACCAAACCAATGATTTTGGCTAGAAAGGATAAAAGGTCAAGAGGCAATTGACTTTGGCAAGAAGGAGAAATCAAACCTTGCTCAGAAAATTGGGTGATGATGTAACCACCAAGGCAGTAAATGCTGGCCAAGGTACTAAACTCAACGTCTGGAAAACTAGCTGCCAAGGAGTAGGTGCTCAACAAATTTTTAGCTGAATAACTTTTTAAAAACTATCAAGCAATTGTCATACAATTGTGAGGAAAAACCAATAAGGGGTTATATATTGATGAACAGCATGGGTTTTGTTGGTTTTCAATGAACTTAGCTGTCTAGGGATAAGAGGAGTAGGAGATTACAGAATAATATACACAAAGCTGAGAGTGGCATTAAAGAAAAAAATCAGAGATTTGGAAAGTTTGGTCTGGGTTCCAGAAACAACAAATGTTTCAGTTTGCCTCTAGAATAGTAAGAATTTAAGCTGGGAAGATGCAGTGCCATCATAACGGAGTATTTCTGAATGGTGGACTGAAGAAAATTTTAATTAGTTCAGGAGGAAATGTAAGTAAGGTAAGAGGTGAGTTGGGGGCAGTGATCCTCCACGATATTCATTATTGTGTTCCTTTGGAAGAATCTTTGGACAGCAGTGGGATAGGATGCATAGGGCTATAAGGCAATCTTAAGTGAAGATCAGTTAGATGGCTCCAATAAAGGTAGAAGCAAAAGATAATTAGAAGAAATTAAACAAATTGATCAAAGAGGAATGAAAAGCCAAGAGTAGGTTCAAAGGATAGTCAGAAAAAATTAGTATACATGAGCTGCTCTATACTGGGATGGCTGAGTGATCTGGATTCACACTGTGCTGGGCAGTGGAGTATTTCATTGCAATAAACAGAAATAACAATGCCAGTAGAATGAGCAGTTTCCGGTAAAGAAAACTGATTTTGAGGAACCAGCAGGGTAGACAGGTGGAGAAATATTTTAGGCACCTGGAAATGCAACATAACAGTTTACAGACATTTGGGAGCCACCTGGTAAAAGCTGTGGGAGTGGATAGACAGCCAAGGACACAAAATTCACTCACAAAAAAGTCACTGGGGCTTCCTTGCCCTCAGCTAGGGGAGGAGGAGGTGAAATTTGGGAGGAGGAAGGGGTGTGCTTAGAGAGAGAGGAATTATCTAGAAAAACACACCCTTCAAAATTAAGAATCAGAGCTCCAAAAGGAAAGAGAGTAAAATAGTTAGAGAATTGGAGGTGGAGAGAAACTGAGATGGAGTACCTGGGTCTGCTGACCTGTGCAGGGGTAGAAGAGTCGGTGAGTTGAAGCCAGACTGACTGGCGTATCAGAGGACAGGAGTGAGGAAGAAAGAAGAAGCTATGCATTTCCATGTGTTTGATGCTTGAGCCAGGAGCTCTGGTGGGCACGACTCCTGGGATCACTGCCTTTTGTTTTTAGTGAGCTCAAGATAACTTCCTTTCTATTCCCAGTGGTCAAATAACTTTCACTGAGAAAACAGGGCAAGAAGAACTATAGGTGTCAATGTCCTTTGGAACCCTGGAATCTGAAACCTAATTCATGAACACTTCCTCCCTGAAAGCTCCAGTGTCAGCATTTCCGGACAGGGAAGAGTCAATGTTAAGGTTACCATGTTGGGTGAAAATATATGTGTCAGGGCTGTGTGGGGCAGTTCACTAGTTATAATAACACTATTACCTGAACAATCATTTTCAGAGCTAACTTGAATGCTAATTTTATCATAAACTAAATCTCCATATCTGTGGACTTGCTATTTCATTCAATTGTGTATCAAATCTGTTGGCATTTAATTAGGGTTGCCTTAAATTAATGCATTAATGTGCAAAGAAGTGGCATTTTTACAATACTATATTCAGCTTACCACAATGAAGGTTACTTAAGCTTTATTCTGTGTCTTCCTGTGAAAGGTAATTATTTTTCATGTAGGTTCTGAAGCTAGCCTTCTCAGTTTATAAATCTCTGTTTCTCTTTTGAGTCACTATTGTCAATGGCATTATTTCATATATGATGTCTTCCTAGATGAGTAATTAGCATTTAAAGGAAACAACTAAATACATCTGACCCTCATAGGATTGATGGTATGCATGTAAAAGTATTTTGGATAACACTGTTACAGAAAACAAAAAAGAATACTGTTTGCTTTGCCTGTATATTGCCTATCCAGTGCTTGCTTACATAAGATGGGTTGTGACTATTTAGAGACAAAAATGCGTCATCATTAGTAGTGATTAGGACTGATGATGCACTATTATTTATTCCTTCTTAAATTAACAGCAATGTACTTGTCTCCACAGAAATAAGGATGATAGGATGCAAACTACTGTTATCAAGGAAATGAAGACAATTTGCCAAAATGACTTCCTACCAATCTCTTAAGCATGGTTCTCAGCAGAATCACCATTTCTTTGGCTTATGAACTCTGAATGGCATTGCACCATATGATGAATACATATGTGACACTGCAGTTTAGTCACTGCTTTGGGGAGAAAAAATGAAGTAGAAAAGTATCATTAGTGATGTATTAGCTCCAACTTACCAGTCTTGTACGGCATTGAAGGATTCTTCATTTGTGATGTCATACATTAAAATGAAGCCCATAGCGCCGCGATAATAGGCTGTGGTGATAGTCCTGTATCTTTCCTGGCCTGCTGTGTCCTAAAAGACAGTGAGGATAATCTCTCAGAAATAAGACAATACATTTTTTGGAGGTGATTAATAATACCTGAAACAGTCACAACAGAGTCTACAGTGCATGTGCAATGTATACCTATCTCTTCCACGTTGTTATTCCTCAAGATTTTTATATAGCAGGTTTGAAATACTCTGACAAATTGGTGTTTTTTGGGGAAAGATGTAGCTCAAAGTACCTTTTTCAGATGTTCAGACTCATCAACCAGCATCTAATGATAGAAAATGAAAGGAAATCTATCTATCAGTCTATCATATATATATATATATATATATATATATGTAATTTGTGACTCTTTCTGTAGTTTCATATCAGAAAAGTATATGAGCTCCATCATTATGCATTTGTGGTCTGTCAGCTAATACAAACTACTGGGAGAAAAAGAAATTTTATGAAAACGTCTGTGCTTTTAAGGAGCTTCCAGTTCAATCTCAGCTTACTCAGCTGTAACATGAGAATAAGAACACCTGCTTTGCGCTGGTGATTCAGCCGGATGGCTGGACCTGAGTTTAAGTTTCTTCTCTCCCCTTAGCTAGGGGAATGTGGACCAATTTCTGAACCTTTCTGAACTTTAGTATTTCTGTAGGAAATAACTCATGTGCCATGCTTCACACAGATTGCAGTAAGCAAAGGGTGCTTTATAAATGACAAGTACTGGCCTTTGCTCCTGACACGTGGGGAGGGTGGCTAACCCACAATAGGAGACAGCAGCATAGAAATACAGGGACTCCTTGCCTGCATAGACAGCATGGAATGGCTAAGTCTTGGAATCAGAGACAGATATCGCCTAAATGGCCCTGGTATATGGCACATGTATTGGAACTGCAAGATTGCTTCTCAATTCAACCAACTCTCACTCCATCCTCTCTGGATCTGTGGTATCACTTACTAGCCAAATGCTGTTTAGTTTTCCTCTTTGCTACTTCCCCCAGAGAATGGGGTCCACCTTCTCTCTCCTAGTACTCTCTAGGTGCTTAGTATTTTGGACAAAATATGAACTTTTCTCTGACTTCAGTCTAGGTCCTCTTTATCCCCTTACCCCTGAGATGCTTGCTTTGAATGCAGAGTGCACACCAGCTCCCCCTAGGATTCACCCTCCTTGAAGGGACAGCTAGTGTATTGGAGAGAACTGAAGAGCTCCATTTATCATAACAAATGAACTCAATCACTCAGAGGGCCACTACTTGGACAGGATCATGTTGGATATGTGATTCCTCCTCCTGCTTGGATGCTTACACCCCACAGTGGCAATGTTTGAGACTCTCTCCTACTTTGTGCGCCATATCCTCCTTGACATCTTAAGTTTAACAAGGTATCATCAAAGGTGGTTGGGGGTCAGAGAATGATTCTGGGAGAATGTGGGGTATAAAATGGAACTGAATGTTAGCCAAGGGTGTGACTCTTCATGAGGCCAATGATAATCATATGCTACTCTTAGAGCACGGATAACAGTGGCCTCGTTAGAATATGTTTACTAAATGATATTAAGGGAAATAAGATTTCAAAGGGAAGGTGAACACAGATTATAGTACTGAAATGATCAGAAAAGAAGACAAAACCAGTAGGATGATCCCTCAGAACATACTTCCAGGGCTGGGGATTTAGCTCAGTGGCACAGCGCCTGCCTGGCAAGCGCAAGGTCATGAGCTGGATTCCCAGTACCAGAAAAAAGAAAAAAAAAAAACAAAAAAAAGAACATACTTCCAAAAGCAGAAAACAGAAACGAAAATACAGATTTTAGTCTATGAAAATTTGACAATTCCTTAAATATGAAAGAAATATTATAGGTAGAGTTGAAATGATAGAAAATCAAGTGATAAACTGGGAAATTTGTTTGCACTGGACAACAGAAAACAAATATCAGTATCTTTTATATATATATATATATATATATATATA